CCAAGCGCCCGGTCCACTCTACTCTACTCTACTCCAGGCAACCTCCGGTCAAATGCAGCCCGAGGGCCCTTCCTCGGTGCTGAGCCATGTGCGCTGACATGACCACCCATTGCTGCGCTGGCTGCATGGACTATGGCGATTCACTGTGACACGACACAGATAAATGAGGTTTGGTTGCTGCATGTGTGCGCGTCTCGCATGGACCTCTGCATAGGAGCAAGCAGGAGGCTGCTCAGCCAGCTGCTCGGCAGGCGCCGCCGGAATCTGCAATCGAGGCGGCAGGTGGGCCCTCATGACTCATGTAGGTCTCATAATCACCCGGCATTTTTACGTTACACACTGCTACCTAGGCTGCGCTATCTCTCGATACGATACCGTTCCTGCCAAGCTTGGATCAGCTCTCGGACACTGCGGAACCAAGCTAGCGAAGAATTCACACTTGATACTGTCCATGGAGTCTATCAGCTGTTCCGCGATAGACGAGCTGCCAGCAGCTGCACTCCGGCACATCGTCGCGCTCTTGGCGCTCTGCCCCGCCGACCCCGCCCACCCTGCATTGGAGCGCCTTCGCGCCCTGCAGGTGGCGTCCCGCGCCCTGCGAGATGCGGTGCGCGCCTATATCGCATCAGTAGCAACACGGATCGAGGGCGGCCAGCCGATCGCGGCGCCGCGCCCCCACCCCTACTCCTCCCTCGCGAGCCTCGCCGCGCTGCAGCACGTCGACATGACTCATCATCAGTCCCTTCCACCTCTACCGGCCAGCAGCGGCGGCAGCGGCGACGTGCCGCGGCATCAACAGGAGACGCGCCGAGCAGTGCGCCGCTTCCTGTGCGGCGCGCGGCCGGCCGCGCCGGCTGCGCCGCTGCCTTCGCCCACGCGAATCGCGACCCTGCGTTTCCTGAAAGTCGGCGCCCTCGCCTTCGCGAAGCTCCCCGCCTCGCCCCTGCTCTCGGCCCTCACCCGGATCTCCCTCTCCCCGGACGACGCCGGCGACGCCTGCGGTGCCGCGCGGCGGCCAAAAGGCGGCCGCGGCCTCCCGGCCCCGCCGTGGAGCACCCTGGACTGGGGCAGCGCGGCGGCGGCGCTGCTGCGGCTGCCGCGGCTCGCTGACGTGGAGTTGAGCGAGGCGCCGCTGGTCAGCAGGGCGCTTGCGCTTGCGCTGCCGCGAATGCCCGCGCTGACGTCACTCGCGCTGCACTGGGCGGCGTTTGATGAGGAGGGTGCAGACGCCCCCACCGCGCGGCGCGCGGCGCAGTGGCTGCCGACCGGCGGCGGCGGCGCGTGCTTTTGGGCGGCCGCGACGCAGCTGCGGGCGCTCTCGCTGCCGGCGGTGGTCTTGGCGGCGTGCGGAGCGAGCGTTGCGCCGCTTACGCGGCTGACAGCCCTGAACGCAAACCTGGGCACCATGACGCCGGCGGCAGCTGCGGGCATCGCCGAGCGCCTGCTGCTGGGCTTCCCACCCGGCCGCGCAGCGCGCTGCCCGCACGCGCCGCCGCCCCCGCCACCGCCGCCGCCGCTGCTGCCGCTCTCGCCGCTGAAGCTGGCGGCGGCGGTGCCGCCGTGGGGCCTGGCGGGACTCCGAGAGCTGGCCGCGATCACGTCGCTGGCCGCGTCCGGCTGCGAGCAGCTGCTCTTTGACGCGCTCTCCGCCCTGCCCCGCCTCCGGTCCCTCGAGCTCGTTGCCGCGTGGGCGGCGCCGCCGCGGCGGCGGCAGTGGTGGCAGGCCGCGCCACAGGAGAACACGGGGGAGGGCGAGGACCTTGCACTGGTGCTCCCGCGCGACGCCTGCGCGTATGCAGGCCTCTCCGGCCTGACGTCCCTCGTCCTGTCTGGCTTCCAGCGCCCCGCGCAGCTGCCGCCGCTCCGCGCGCTGGAGCGGCTCGCGCGCCTGGCGCGGCTGCGGGTCGCGGGCGGGGAGGGGCTCGTTTTCGACGGCCCGGGGTCGAGCGTGTGGCTGGACTCGTTGGGGACACTGCGTTGCCTGAGGGATCTAGACCTCGAGCCTAGGTGAGCTGGAGGTTTCTGGTTGGGGTTTAGACTGGTGGATTTCAGGGCGTCTGGGCTTCTGACTGGGTGGGATTCTAGCAGGGTCACCCTTTTGGTGGGGCGTGACATGTTGGTTGCCCTCTTTTGCTTACTCCTGACCATTTCGTGTGCATGCGTGCACACAGCACCTGCGCATGTGTGTGCGCACATGCACACATGGACACGCACATGCACACACACGCACATGCACACACACGCACGCATACACGCACACACACATACACGCGGAAGCACGCACGCACGCACGCACGCACGCACGCACGCACGCACGCACACACTTCCACTCAACGCCAATTTTGACAACCACACACTAATATTGCACCCCCTGCCTCGTTCCCGGCCTCTACCTGGCTACCCGGTCGCTACCATTGCAGTGCACAGGAGGGGGCACTTGCCCCTTCCCGCCTTGAGTACTACCCACCCCTGCGGTGCTGCGGAGTATGCATGCATCACAACGCCCTCACACGCACAACCATCCCCCCCCCCCCCGCAGCGCCACAACACCCGAGATGTTTGCCAGCCTCGGCCTCCTGTCACGCCTCACGTCCCTGCGCGTCCGCGTGGCCGAGACCTTCACGGGCTGGCGCACCGACGACGACACCTCGTGGCTCGTCGACGCCCTCGGAAACCTCACCAACCTCGTCAGCCTCGATCTGGAGCTGCCCGACCTGATCATCCTCCCGCCCAAGGACTCGCAGTTCCAGTTTCCTGAGAACCTGCAGGGCGGCGGCGCTGACGGCCCGCAGGCGCACCCGATGCGGCGGCTGGCGTCGCTGGCGCGCCTCAGACTCGCCGCGTGCAGCGGCGCGCTCTGGCGCGTGCGCGACGCGCTGCCGGCGCTGGCCGCGAGGTTGGAGCGCCTCGCGATCTCTGAAGTTGCGGAGGAGCGGTGCGGCCACCCCGCGCGCGGCGTCGCGCGGCGGCGCGGGGCGGCGGGCGCCTGCGTGCCGGAGGAGCTACGGGGCACGTCGCGGCTGCGGTGCCTTGAACTGCGCTACGAGGTGTCGCCCCAAGCCTGGCGGGTCCCTGACTGGGTGGCCCAAGAGCTGACATCCCTGGAAACCCTCGTGCTCCCCGCGATTGCGGGCAGTGGCTTCGAGCAGCGGCGCGCGGCCGTCGGCAGCGGCGCCGGCTGGTTTGTTGGTCCAGGCGACGGCGGCGGGGCGGGGCCGGCCGCGTCCGGGGTTTGTCCGGCAGAGCAGGCGGAAGCATGCGAGGCGGGGGGCTTGGATTCGCTCCTGGCAGTCATGGCGCTGCCCAACCTCCGGCGTGTGTTGCTGGACGAGCGGTGCGCGCCCGCCGCGGCGCTGGCAGAGGCGAGGGCCGGGTGGTGGGGGCCGCGCGTTGAGGTGTGGTCGCCGCAGGACGACTGACTGCGCACGCAGGGGCGCAGGACTGCAGCCCTTCGTCGCCGGCCGCTGCAGCTGCAAACGCTGCGGTGTGGCTTACAGCTGAGGGCAAGAGTGCTATTGGCTGCGTGTTGTGTGACTTCAACACATTACAGTCATCCCTCGGTAGTGTGACTTCAACACATTACAGTCATCCCTCGTTACAGTGAACCCCGGTGATGCGAACTTTCTGCCTATTGTGAACGCTTTCAGGGGGCCCGTCCTGCACCAATACAAATCTGACCCCCATCCTCCCGGTAAAGCGAATTGCGAACACCGCCTAATGCGAAGGCCGGGGGGCCTGATCTTTCACAATACCTA